TAATAAACATTTATATATACCGCTCATGTACCTTTAAGCGGAACTTCAGCTTGGCAATGTGATTCCAGTCCATAATTGGAACTGCAACAGTGTGAAAAGTGCATGATGTTAACTTTGTTGAGTCCAGAATTCAATTCAAGCCATTGACTAGTAACATAATTGCAACAAATGGTGCTCCATCTTCACGGCAATAAACGGAGATAGAACTGAAGTAAGATCCCAAAATCCGACCTCCAAATCAGATTCTATCAACTGACCAAGATGAGGGTGTAAACATCATATACGCAGGAACGGTCCAACCTCTAAGGGAAATTTTGCACCCATAGTTTCAAACTCAAACATGGCAACTGTAAAATTTTTGGCGAATTATTCCACTGATGGAACCGCCAGATGGTTCCATATCCAGCCACGTTGGTAGGACAACAGGTTACTTCTCCAGCAATTCTCCACAGAGATGATGCATTATCTTACCACTGTGCTTAAAAGGACAGCTATACTCTGTTGGGTATGCGACCAAAGTTCCATATTGGTTAGAAATGGAGAGGATCAAGGGTATATAAGGATGGACAAATATCTCCATTGGTATGAGGTCTTTTGGGTATAACCCAAGAGCAAATCCATGAGGGTTTAGGCCCAAAGTGGACAATATCATACCAATATGGAGATAGGTGGTGTCCGTAGTCCTTACAAGTGGTATCAGAGCCATGCCCCAGAGTTAGCCATGATGGATGAATCCTCGGAAGGCCGAACAAAAGGTGGTGAGCCCTAATTAAATCACGATGTGATCCATGAATCGGCTCTATTGGATAGGCGGTGTGCTTCGGATGCTTCATGGACGTGTCCTGATCTCAACACGGTGAAGAGGAGTTGACCTAGAAAGAGCAAAAACTCTCAAGTCAGGTAGTGCTCTCCGGATGCTTCATGGACGTGTCCTGACCCCAAACACGATGAAGTAGAGAGAAGTAGAGGATGAAAAATCCTGGTTGGCAGAGAGTGGATGGATAAATGATCGTTTGAGGAGAGGCTCGGTGGTTCTTTGTTCGAGGAAAGGATTGTTGGGTATGCGACCAAAGTCCCACATTGGTTAGAAATGGGGAGGATCAAGGGTATATAAGGATGGACAAATATCTCTATTGGTATGAGGCCTTTTGGGTATAACCCAAGAGCAAATCCATGAGGGTTTAGGTCCAAAGTGGACAATATCATACCAATGTGGAGATAGGTGGTGTCCGTAGTCCTTACATACTCATGATTGGATGGCCAATTAATCGAGCATGGCCTGACCTGGTGAACTGCAAGATTAGCAATAAAATTATCATCTAGATGAGCATAAATAAGCAACATAAAATGAACGACTAAACAAGAAGGAATGCGATCAGTACACGATATTTCTTTTTTATGTGCTGGGAAATCCTTCCTCCTATCGAAGCTCAAACTTTTGATAGTTTTGAAGCTTTGCAAATAAATATTTATCTTCGTAACATGACAGTTTTAGAAATCAAAACCAAGACTTTGATTCTATGCAGTTCAATTTGGAGTGAAAACAAGACTAAACTGTCATTCATATCACGTCAACTCTAAATGTCACACCCCACCTGCAAAAGATACCCAAAAGTGATTATTGATAAGATTAATAGTTTGCTGGGGAAAGTATTTTTTTTTATTGTTTTTTAAAATATTTTTTATTTTTAGATATATTGAAATAATATTTTTTATTTTTAAAAATTATTTTTAATAGTAATATATTAAAATAATTTAAAAATATAAAAAATATAAAATAAAATAAAATAAAATAATTTTTTTTAAAATATTTCCAAAACATAATAACAAATACACCATAATAAAAAAGTTAAATCATCGTGTTTGGAGTATAATTACGGTTATTTTTTAAAGTGTTTTTTACTTAAAAAAATATATCAATAATAATTTTTTATTTTTTTAAAAATTATTTTTAAGATTAGTACATTAAAATAATTTAAAAACATAAAAAATATATTAATTAAAAAAATTAAATTTTTTTTTTAAATATTTTTAAAAAACACTCCAAAACATCTACTAAAAAGCATTCTTAACTTCTCAAGTTTCAATCCTAGCCCATTTGTGGTCCCATTCAAAAGGTCGTCATTAACTGCAAATCCTAGAGGGTGTTTGAATAAAAAGTAATTTTTTTTTTTTAAAAAAAAACATGTTTTTATAGTTTTTAAAGGTATAATTTATACTTAAAAAGTATTATATTTTTGATAAAAAAACCACCATACCTTCAAGTCAAATACACTCTAGATCACAAACACCATCGACCATAGTTATTTGTACAGCCTTGTGATGATCAGCATGCAAATAATGATAAATTTGTAGACGAAAGATTTCCCAAGAAACGACCTGTTTGTTTTTTTTATGATTTTTCTAGCCAGTAAGAAAACTTATCCTCATTGCTTAAGAAGACCTGTGCTAATCAATATGACAACCATGCTACTTCCTAGGACCTGTTCTGCCACTAGACTACATGCTCTTGATCGTTGGGTACTGGGGAAGACGGATCTGAGGGTATCATTAATCCTCCTCACCAATCACATGACTTCTTGAGTATGAAAGATCCATATATTTAATGATTTATTTGAAAATATAATAATAATTATTTTTTAAATAGATTTTCATATTAAAATATATATTAATAATATTTTTTTATTTTTTAAAAATTATTTTTAATATCAAAATAATTTAAAAATACTAAAAATATATTAACTTGAAGTTAATAAAAAAATAACAAATTTTAATTTTTTTTTAAAATATTTTTAAAATGTAAAAACAAATATAATTTAAGTATCTAGCCTGAAAATGATAACATCTATATAGAACAACTGGCTGTAAATATTCATAATTGCGTTGAGAGAACTATTGGAGGACAGCAGAAAAACTAAGTTATGGACACAAACCAGGGGGGAAAAAAAATGGGAATCACCTGCAGATTGTAATCTAGACGATCAGCCCTTAAGATGCCCCGGGCCAAACAAATCCTCTCCAACGCGCCAAAACCATTTGAAGCAGCAGAAGTATAGAATTGCACATCCTTGAATAACCTAGGGAACCACACCTCCTCTTCCCAACCAAGATAGCAGCCCAATGCAATCGATCACCCTGCATATCTCCCTGATTTAGAAAGCCATCTGATGAACGAAAACTATGGAGAAACTGCTGATCAGAACTGCCAGCACCGGAATCTATTACAGGAAAGAAAAAAATAGAATAAACATGTAGAATGTTGCAATGAGATTAAGCAACTATGGCTTCCTAGAAGGTGGTTGACTAAAAAAAACATCTACGGGGAGGCAGACCAGGAGTTTCATAAGGAAAAAAGTATTCTGAACCTGCTAAAGACTATTGAGATGACAACTGACTAGATCAATTACTGCGGATGAGAGTGGAGTTAACAATCTTATTAGTTGAATATTTATTAAAAATAACTGTTAACTAACAATTAATACTCTAAAAGCAAAAAAATTGTAAATGACAAACAACAAATACCTGATGACCAAACCTAACAGCGGTCTTCTTCCTTTCCTCATTCAATTTCCAGCCAGCCCCTTTTCAAACCCCCCTCCTCCTTCCCTTCCTTATCAAAACAAAAACAAAAGACAAAAAATGAATACCCGAGTTAACATTAAAATTCAATCACAAGATGAGCACATGCAATCGTTTACCTAGCTTCCGGAGCGACCATTGAGCGGACGAATCTCCATTTTTAGAGCAGGGAAAGACGAGTTGGAGAAAAGAGGGTGAAAATCCTGATCGACCAACCAGTGGTTTAATGAGAACGGAAAGACCTGTCTTTAATGCATTTCCCTCCAAGCATCAGGATACGGGCACTGAGGAGCAGCAGTTAAGTGCACTTTCTTACCTTGCTTGCTATATGCTGAAAGGAACCTTGCAAGATCACCCCAGTGGAGGCATGTTCCTCCTTCCATCAGGCCTCAAATCTCGAGTGCCCATCTGCGCAAAAAGCTTCAAGCTCAAAACCCCATGATAATATCTAGAAAAAGCTGAAGTTAAAGCATTATAATTAGAGCCCAAATATAAATTATTGCTCATCTGTCCAAGTAAATGGTATGGATGAAAGAGACGGAAATTGTTTCGACAAAAGAATTATTCTCTTATTTTTTTGAAAAAAAATGTAAATTTATTTCAAAATCATTATAAATATACTGTATATTTATTTTTATATTTCATCTTAATATTTTTAATCAAATTTTTTTTTGTACTTATGTATATATATAATAATTCTGTATCATAACATTAACTAAATGCAATTTAAGAGATAAAGATATACTCTAATTTATTATTATTATTTTTTTTTTAAAAAGGGACACCATCATATTAAGTTCACAATCACTGGGCCTAGAAATCAGAGCCCATGATCCAATTACTGGAAATTCAGGCCAGTATTGGCCCATAAACACATGTGAAAATTGAAAATCGAGTTAATTATAATGTAATCCTTATAGTTTATAAGATAAAACAAATTAGTCCCTGTCGTTTAAACATTATTTAAATGATCCTTTGACTAGTGCTGGTCATTTTTAATTAAACAGTATTTTGTACCAAAAATATGTTTTATTTTCTCATAAATATTTTCATACTATCTATTTTTTTTCTAAAATTTTTATCTTGAAACAAATAAATAAGTAAAATGAAATGAATGAAAAATGATGTAAATGAATATGAAAATACAGGGATCAAACATATATTTTCTGAAACCACAAGGACTGATCAATGTGTAAACTTATAATTAGCCCTCGAAGCCATGATTTCTTCTAAATTACACAATCGACCCTTGCACTCCTACCAAATTACCACCTCCTCTCCCTGTCGGTGCAACTGGCACGATTTCCTCGCCGGTGCAGGAACCTTTCAATATTTCTGACTCGGCAACTCACACTTACTGTCCTTGAAGTTCGAACTTCAAGCTCGCTCTTCTCACTCATTTGCAAACGATTTGGAAATAAGATGGAAGAGGAGTCTTAGCAATTACAAATCAAAGATTCGAACGGCTCCCTTCTCCCACAGAATTCGCGTCTCAAATCGAATCCAAAAATGTCTCCGCTGTAACTCAATTCAATTCCTTCTCTATATCTCCTCCTTTTCAGAGCTTTCCATCAATACTGTCTTGTTTAGAGCTTATCTATTCACCACTACTATTTTTTGGCTTCAAAGGTGCTCAATGGATGCATTAAGAACTGGAAAGCTTTCGTCGAATGGAATCCGGCTAATGGTGGCCTCTGTTACTTCAAGGTCTCTTTAATGTTTTAGAATTATTTCTATTAGACGAATGTGATTACTTAATTCATTGAAATTTAGGAACGGGTAGGATCATCTACTGTGGAAGCTGTGCTATCTAAAACAGCACCCGTGTTTGACGGTGATATTAGAAGCCATGAAAGGGTAATTTTTTTTTTGCCCATTTTTTTATTAATTGATTGATTATTATTATTATGAATGTAGCTTTGAAGTGCTTCTTCTTACTGGTATGCTGTTTGTGGGTTCAATTACTGTTTTCCACCTTTATTGACTTTTGCAAGCAAAGTATGCGAAACACGGACAATGGTCCTGATTCTTTGTTGCAATCAGGAAGGCATCAGGATGCTGTTACTGATGTAGAGCCCAGTTTGCTTTCTGGCGATGCTCCTCGACAAATTTATATAGCACAGGTTGGAATTTTGCTGTTTCTAGAGGCCGGCCGACTGTTATTTTTCTTGTTTATCGCGTTTGATACTGTGTGATATTGAATTGTTACGATGGTAAAATTTAAATTATGTTTGAATTTTAATTGTCTGTGATTAGGTTCTGATAATGAATCCTGAGGATCGAGAGAGTGTTCAACTTGAAGGTCTTAGGGATGACATTCAAACAATTTGTGCATTTCTTTCTCCACTTAGTTGTTATCTAGTTTGCATCTTTCCGTGGTTCACTATTTGTTTGCTGTTGATTGATTTTGCCTGCCTACATTTTTGGGGACAAAAGAACTAGCTTCTGTCAATTTGTGGATGAATAATGCTCAATCTAGATCAAGCACTCGCTATGATCCGCTGTTTTCTTTTATTTCTTTCTTTGTTTTTGTATATTCTGCACTGTGGAGACTTTCTCTCTTTAGCTGCTAGTTATAGATTCATGGTAATGCTAATAGCCCTTGCAGAATTTTATTATTTGTAAAAAACCTACAAAACTCTTTACTATTTAACTATTTTGTTTAGACAGTTCCCTTTAGCAATTTATTTATTAGTTGAAAAATTGCCATTTTGTTGTACTGTTTCTCTGTTTTTTAGAATCTCAGACTCTCTTTGATTAATTAAAAATGCTTTATCTGTCCTCAAAAGGACTAATCTATTCTATATACTGCTTTTTTGCCTACTGAGTTTGCTGGCTTTGTTCTTTATGTTATGGTATTGGCTTTAAGACTATCCCTATGCATTAGATCTTGCTTATTTTGTATTTCCCTTTTGCTGAAGTATTTCTTTGTTGCAGTTGTTTTATGCCTCCCTTCTGCAAGTCCATTTTTTACCCAAAGCCTGTGATCGGTGAGGCCTCAAACCACATGCATGCCACTTTTTTGTGAGGAACAAGAAGTTAATTTCTGTTCTCTCTTCATTTGGTAAGAGCAGGAAAATGTAATTCGAGTAAGGTTTGCTTAACCACTGCAAACTTTGGAATTGTATATTTTTGTGATTGTTTATCTTTTTTGTTTTGTTTTCTTCTGGCTGGCAGTTCTGTTGCTCTTGAAAACACTGACTTCTCATTATATCTGAGAGCAAAATGCTCCATGGACTATGCTCAGAAGGTTTTTCTTCATGCAGGTGATGCACTTTTCATTCCTGAAGGCTGGTAAGGTTTAAAAATGTAACGATGCTCATGAGAAAGTTCCCTGTACTAGGAAACTTTCTGTAATATGAGAATATAATGCTAACTTGAAAAGCTTCTGATATAGTTCTAGCCTTTATTTAAGTTTGGTATTGACCTTTTCTTTCTATTTTCATAACAAATTACAAGAGATCTGAGATGTGCCGTTTACTTTCTTTCATGACTTTTGTTTTCTGTTGTATCAGGGGTGTATCCATAAAGTTCATTGCTTAGTCATCACAAAAGGTGGTAGAGCTGACTAGAGAGATTGATGAATTCTTGTGGTGGAGGATGAGGAATTAGGAATTACAGTTGAGTTTGGGGAGGAAAACATAAAAATATGAGTTTTGGTGGCTGTTGGTTTGGTGTTGAATTCTGTAAACACTTGCAGGAATTGAGACCTGAAGGCAACATAAAGAAAATGACTCATAACTGAAGGTTACAGAAATAACCTAGGACTTCTGAAACATAGGAAGTAAAACTTAACACGAAACCAACAACTTTCTGATCAAGAAACCTTAAAAAAAAAAATACTCTTCTTTGTTTATGCACAATGTATTACTCCATCATTAAGTCATTAGACCTATTTCTTTGACTCGACTTCACTTTTAGTATTTAGCCAGGTGAGATGACTGTTGTCTCCACAGGTTCCACGAAGTAGATAGCGATGATTTGACCATTCCTGTCAATTTTGGTGGTAGTCCATTTTAATGTCTAATATGTCAGGGCACATGGATGCTTATTATATGCGGAGAATATTAAGAAGGGGCTTTTCATTGTTTCAGTTGTTTCTCCTTTTTGTCTCTTTTTTTTTTTAACTGAGAAATTGTTCAAGTTTGATGTCGGCATCTGCAGTTAAGCTATCACAATTTGGTGATTTTGTTTTCTCTAACGGGTTATATTGGCTCGCCAAATCAATGTATAAATTCAAGATTGACAGACAAAGAAATGGTGTGGCCATCGCCTTGATATGCCAGATGTTGCAAATGTCATTGCTTATTCCAAATTGAGACCTTTCTCTTGTTTTCAGGCACTGCAAAATGTTTTTTCTGTTAGCTTGCTTGCATCATATTTACATGAATTCTTTGCCAATGTGCAGTTCTTTTTGTGAGACTGCCTTGGGTTTGTCATCAGCCACGCCTCTGCAGTGTAAAAACATTGCAGTGGAAAGAGAAGATGTTTCTACAAATTATTAGTCAGAGATTCTGCTCAAGCTTCGAAAAGCTCGAGGGTCACTTACAGATAAAATTGTAAACCTAATTTAATTGTATTTGGATACTTTGTTGAAGCTTTTAGATTTGTTTGTAGACTAAAGGCTTTGAAATCTCAAGTATTATGACTATTGACACTCAAAATATCGTATGCAGAGTCTTCTTACTAAAGAGTACACATTAATGAAAATTTCAAAAGTTAGTTTCATCCAGTAAGTTTGAGTAGTCTACTATACTGTTTCTTTTCCTTCCCGTCTCTTGTTTTGAGCTTCAAGTTTATGGTCAAGCATTTCAACATGTATATTATATTTGAAATCAGGACAGAACCAAGCACTCCCCAAGGCTTCTCCTGGCTCAGAGAAACTGAAGAGGCATACATGTGAGCTGCTCCGTAATGGAGGAAGAGGTCAGTTTTAATAATTACACCATTTGGTTTTCTTTCCCTTTTCAGTTCTTACCCAAAGGAATTCCTAGCTTGTTTCCAGTGTCTTTCTGGATACTGATCTTGATAATGTTGTGCCAGATCATGGTTGTTGTGACTCGAACATGTCATTCAAGAAACAGGGCTTACAAGGGCAGGACCAACAGCAGAAAGTTAAATTGCATGAATTTGAACCATGTTCACTCCAGGCTCTTCATGAACTTGTTTCTTTAGTTCATGACTGTTCGTGTTAACATCACTGACCAAAGTCAATGCATACAATCAACCCCAACAAATGATTCTAATGTTAGCATGAAAGATGAATGCGATGAAACTTTGACAACTAATTTATTTTTCTTGGAGGATAATCCAGTTGCTAAAATTCTTTGGACACTTCATCCGAGAACTCTTCAGAGCATCCTTCTTTCCATGGCGGCAAGTATGCTCTCCCTTGTAAAGCTTCAATAGGTGGATGGGATTTTGATTAATAGTGTAGGAAATTCCCAGCTATCACAAAGATAAGCTCCAATAATACATGTCATATCCCTCTTCCCAGCACAATTTTCCGAGAACCATGGATGCTCTAATACTGCACTTGCTTTCACCAGTGGGAGCGGAGGTACTTGCATGGAAGTTTGATGAAATTGATCAAGAGACAATAGAAGGCGATTGGTCTTTGTCAAATTCATGAAGACTTTTTTTTTTTTTAAAAAAAAAATATTCTTAAAAGGAAAGAAGAACTCGCCTTTAATCTTTGTATTTGCTCTACAATTTGTCATTTTTTATTTCAGGAACAAATTCTACCAAGGCTTTTATGGTGCATTTGATGATCAATTTGCTGCAATGGATGCAGTCCTTAACGGGAAGGAATTATATGCTCACTGGGTGATTGTTTTTTCCTCTTGAATAATTACATACTTTTATGATTTCAATTTGTATGTATTTAGGTACTTATGTTTTGCATGTGACATTTTGCTTTAGGCTCAATGATTTATTTATTACTATAATGGTGAGGAAATAACAGTGTTTGAAAGTGCTAGAGCATCCAACCGAAAAAGCTGAAAGGTAGGAATTGGGATTGCTTCCAAATTCTCCCTCCTAGGACTTCGCTTCCATGACATATAATTCAGTAACGGCCTACGGGCTTAACTTGTGGTCAATCAACTTAACGGTGAAATGCAAGCTACAACCACCCAAAAACTTAATATAGTATGCGGAAAGTCTCATACTATATTTTAAAATTATACCAATATATCAAAAAGCTATTAAAATCACAGCCTCCCCTCTGTTTGACATGTGATTTTCTGAGTTTAGAGCATTCTCTCTTGGGCATTACTGTAATTGGCCCAATCTCAACCAGTATTGTCTTTGAAGTTTAACTGGTCAGACTCTACATCTTCACTAGCTATGTGCCACAGAAATTTCTTTTCCGAGTTGTTATATTCCAGCATGTTACAGATTCAATTTTGATTCTTCACTGGCTTCATGTTACGAAGCCTCTTTCTGCATGATTTTATTGCTCCATGCGAAGATGAAGCTCTTCCTGGTTTGGAACTTGGTGATGGGGTTCACATAGCACACGTGACACATAGGTTAGAAGGTTAACATGCGAACAGATTTTTTTTGCACTTAGCCAGGATCCTTTTTAGATATGATACTAAATAGATTTTGGTGAATGAGCCCAGAAATCCATGTTTCTTACCCGTTTATTGGTATTGGTGAAACAAAAACACTCAAGTTCTTCCCGGAAAAAGTTTGCATGGTGGACTGTTGCTGTGCCATGTTAATATCGCCATGCATGATCATTACACTCACAGTTTACATACTCTGAAGTCTGGATTTTTATTCCTTTTGCACTTTAAAAGCTGTACTGGCTGAATCCAACTCTGGATTCCTACTCTTATTATAGTTTTCTGATCCAGTTCAACTTTGACCACATCGAATTTTCCCCAAATGAGCGTCTTTTTAAAGTTGTTCATGGCCTTTGTTTTATTTTTGGTTCTTTGTATTTTCCTATCTTCATCCGCATCTTCATCTAGACGAACTTTTATTTGTATTAGTTTTGTGGCATCATCATCTTTATCTTTGATTCATACGCAAGTGTCGTAAAGTCTTCCAAGCATGCCTATAGATAAATGAGTACATTCTAAAAGTTTCCTACTCTGCTAAAACAGAATTGGTTGTTAAAGATGAACATTATGTTGATCAGCTTTGATGCATTGGGGACTGATGAGTATAAATTTGACATTTAATTTTCTGGTTGCAGGCATTTGAAAATTCTCTCGATAAATACCCGGGAGTAAACTTTGACGTTCCACCACCAATTTGATAGGCCATGCAGTGATGCAATTTCATGAAAGAATTGGTCCCACCTGCAGTATTAAAAGAGTCGAGCAAAGCATTTCCATAGAAGCAGCTTTCTGTCATAATCGGTACTTTTACATGTGACTCATCCATGCTGTAGAAATATAAATGATTGCTAACTTTGAATAGTGCTGTATATGTCACATCTTTCAATTTGCCACACTATCCCAAGTAATTTGAGTTTGTAGTCTGAATTATGAAACTTCATCCAAAATGGTCTGTCGAGAACGCATAAGCTATTAATATCTGTCGGCATCAATAGCAATATCTTCCCTAAATAACGGCTTTCGTCTTTAAATCAGAGCAACACTGGAGAAAGAGGTACATGTGGAAAATAATCTGACATTATGTATGATTCACCCGGCCAACAAGCATCTCTGCAGTTGACACAAACCAGAAGGAAAGGTCACGTAACCATATAGTTGTTAACAGATAACGCTTGTCTGGTTTCTCACCTTCTGTCAATTTCTTTATTATGAACGTATTGCTGAAATCTTGTCAGCCAAAATTTATGAGGTAAAAGAAAATGAGGTTTCATGGAATGCTGTCAAAGATGCAATTTAAACTGTATTTGAGACCACGGTGGTGTATATGTCATTTACTTTTTCTTAATTCATTACTGATGACACCTATGAGGCGTTGTGTGGAAAAGAGTATGCTGCATGGGGATTTGCAGCAGGAGGATTAAAGAGGAAAAAGCATAGAAAAGAAGGCTTTGGAAATTGCTAGGACTGGGAGGAAGAAAAGAGGGAAAAGGAGGGTTTGTTAAGATGAGGTTCCCTAATGGAAGATGACATATGCAAGGGTGTTAAGAGAGGAAAAGGGTGGAGATAATGGAAGAGAAACTTTTGGCTCGTCTGGTTGTGCGGCAGAGGGATATAAAAAAGATGCAGTCTTTTTTAGCAGGCAAATGGCATGTATAGTATCTTAACCCAGCAACTTACACATATACTTTCTAAAAGCTTGGATATACCATAAAACACCCGCAACCTCTCCTTTTTATTAATCCCTAGGTGTATCCTCCCTCTTCTCCTAGTGAATATACAAAGTTGCGGTAACAAGAATTTGCCCATTACTTTTCTCTGGTTCAGATGCTGCGAGTATATATGCAAATTGAACCTGAGGATATCTACTCGTAACCTGAAAATCTTCAGGATCAACGAAGAACTCTTCATACGCCATCTTTGGGGATAAACAAACCCTAAAATCATGTAAACCATTTTGTACGTGATTCTTCTAGTCATTTCTAGATGTGTATCGTTGGTTGCAAAGATATTGACTTGCAGATTTCACTGTTTTCAGATGGAGACTGGTCTCTAGACATCGCAATTTAATTTGTTAAAGAATGAGATCGACTGGTGGGTCATGGAAACAAAGTTGAGATAAATCATTGGAATCTTAATAATATTGGTTAAGTTGCCAACCAAAGCATGGGGACATGCACAAAATTTGATAAAGGATGTAGGGAGGTCATCAAGGAAAAGAAGACTCAGAGAATTGTAATTCAAAGTTGTATTGAGCATCTTTTTCATAACCGTTGACAATACTCTCTTCTCCTCTCCTCTCTCCTTTTCCTTTTGGTTTAGTGCCACTATGTCCCGGACCACCACCACACTCGCACAAATACACATACAGCATCAACTTAGTAGCCTTTTTACTCACGCTTATAACAGGTTTTACAGCCATCTATACCATCTTTAGAAAAGGCTACAATTCTTTGATATCATCAAAAAAATTTCCCCGTAGTACCATAAAGTGATGGTAGACGAAAAAGAAATTCTTGGAAATTGCTAATATCTCTTGAATCCTTAACAGGGATTTGATTGGAGAGGGTAAACAAAAAGGTGGAATTGCCAGAAATTTCTAAACCTATGCCCCAACTGCTTATGCTACGGTATCATCAAGGTTTCCCATCTTAGCATAGTTTATGTGCTTAAAGGGTAAATAATGACTCATTCGAAAAAAACCATCGGCTCCCTTCTTCCGAGGCAGGGAGAGCTATATTTTAATTTTCCGGAGCCCATTAATTGCTTGATGAGATCGGCTCACCCACTTATAGATTCGGTCTGTGTGAATGTGTTGACAATATGATAGATAGCTTTTCCGAGCTCAATCACTTCCTAATCCATTCGAGGACATCTCATCCAGAAAAAGAAAAAAAAAAAGACTGATCGGACGGATTTTCCACTATTTAGTCACACAAACGTACCTAGGTTCTGTTGAATCGGTCCTATCGAAGAAGACTTTAAGTCCCTTTCGGTAAGCTGTCGAATTTGAAATTCTTTCTTTTAAATTAACAGTGTCATTTGGACAAAAGCTGGACAGACATGCTAAAGAAGTACAGAGGCAAACTTCTCACTCGGTGTGTGAACAGTGGCGAAGCCAGGCAGTCACGAAGAAAAGCGGGGAAATTGCCCCTGATTAAATTTTGTCCTGTATACCGTTTGCATAATAAAGGTTCAGAATAGTCATTGTATTGATTATTTTGAAACCGTATCTTTCACACACAATAAGAGCTAAAATATGAAAAATAATTCAATATTTATAGGCAACGGTTAGTTAATGGCGGATATAATACTTATTTATTTATTTGGGTCTAAAATCAATACATTTAATTTGAGATGTTTTGATATTCAATATGGTGTGTATTATGTTGATTTTTATCATAGACAATAAAATAAATAACCTTTAATTTTTATGAAAAATATTTAATTAAGAAAACATTTGATAACGTGGCACAAATCTTGTTTTTAAAATTTTTAATTTTTTTATTAAAAATTAATTAATTAATTTATTTTGATTTATTGATCTAAAAATATAATTTAAAAAATTATTTTTAATATATTTTAGTATAAAAAAATACTTTAAAAAATAACCACAATTATATTATCAATCTTGTGCTTAGTATCTTGTAAAAAATTATATTAAAAAATATATATCAATTAATATCTCCAACCAGATTTTCGCATGAAAAATAACCTTATGTTAACACATCAAAAGCCAAAACCCTCTTTCCCATCCACAATATAAAAGAAAACTCCATGTCCATTTCTAAGAGGAACACAAGCCTCAATGAAAATTATCTTGCTAAGGAAATTAATTAGCTAGCCTTACATGCTACTATTGCTTTGTTTATTCATTCCATTGGATTAGATCTCCAACAAGAGGGAATTGCCCAAATCTTGATAGAAGTAGCAAATTGCCTTTTTTTAAGGTAATAGATAAGTAACGAAAATGCCATTAATTAAGCATTTGCATTGCTGTCGAACAATACAACTAACATGAATTGAAGGGCTTTTTTCTTTTTCCAGAATAAATCAAAGGGATTATTGCCAAGAAACACAAAGGAGACATCTTAAGAACATGATAATGGGCTATCACTGTTGATTGAGTTGTAGAGAAGGAAACACTCGTGATCAATATCAAGTGTACAAGGCATGGCCCTCCACTGACATGCATGCTTACCTCATTTGGTACTCGCTTATCTTCCCTTCACAGTATAACTGTACCCCTCCATAATAATCATATCCCACGACATATCTCATCCTTTAATTCTCAAACGCTTCCACTCTTCACGCATTATTTTTGGTGGCCATTTCCTTAAAGATGGAGGGCGTTGTCCTAATCCTAATCCTTTGCATGTAGACAGCGTCGTATTCCTGTCACCTGGAGCGTGTAAGTATGCTGTAATCAATGCACTTTGAAGTTAACGGAGAGAAAACCTAAGTGATTGCCAGAGTAATATTGCTGTTTCGAAATCTGATCATGTGCACGAACGACATTGCACTCAGTCTCAGCATTTCTTCCAATTCTAAATGTGGGTTCTCTATTAATATACATAACGAACATCCACTGATGGCGCCATGATCAAGATCATCAAACCTGGAACCAATTTAAGCACGTAAATTGTAATTTGAAACATGTGGGATTGACACTTGATCGATACTTGGATCGATGATTAAAGTTAACATGAAAGGGATAGGGGGCATAAAGATTTGAACAAAAAAAAAGATTTACTTTTTGTTCATAATAAGATAATAACGGTAGCAAATTAGGGCCAATGAGGTCCCTGAGGGTTGTCTTTTATGCCCACCTTGCATAAACAGCAAAAAAGGGACAGTGAAAAAGAAGAAGTTCTTAGCTCAAAACCAAACCCTTCCCAATTCTAATGCAAACACAAACATGTAGTTCATGTGATCTTCTTGTATAGCTGTCTAGCTAGATAAAGATGGGATATGTTCTCAAGGAAATGATGTCTAGAAATAGTGCCCATAAAACCAAATTCCATGGAGAAATTATTACTATATTCTGCATGTGACATAACTTTTCCGCAACAAAATTACAAGGCAGCCACCATCGTCACCTAGTAATTAAGGCCAATCCTCTTGATTACCATATCTAAATCTATCATTCAAAAGAAGGTGGAAAAAAGTTAAAAATGAAAGCCAGGATGAGAAATTGCTGATAGCAGTCTTAAAGTAAAGAGAGATAACCCAAAAAAAAAAAGATCTGGCATGAAGCTGCATGGAAGATGAGGTTGATGATGGCATAAGAAAGGTTCTTGATTTTCTTCAAAAACCTCCATTAAATTCTTGCGGCACAGAAGACATGGGGCACTTCGGCCATTTTGAAGGGAATGAATGGAATCACCATTTTACCCTTTCCTTTTTGGGCTTCCCTAGCAATCACCCCACGCTTCAGAGGCAGAAGGCTGAGCGAATCCAAAACCACCGTGGGGCTTCAGCAGCGAGTGGTCTCTCTCGTTGTATTGCTGCTGGTGGAACCCTACACCCCCTGTATAGGTTAGAATTTCCCTCACATTCATGCTAACGTTAACACTCCCACCACTCCCATTCGCATTGCTAGCAGCATGGCCATGATGATCCCCACACTCAGGCGCAGTCAGACCCAGAAAGTCTCTTGTCAGGCGATCACTCTTCTGCCACGTGGCAAGGCTGTTAAGGTTGTAACTGGGACCCTGAGAGACGTGACTCACCGAGTCAACATGAACCTGACCCGCTGATCCCAACTCGCCCATGTCCAGCTGGGTCATGTGACTGTGACCCACTGAGGTCTGAGTGGCACCCACACTGGCAGCCTTTTGAAGGAGTGCAGTGGCTGACAAGTGGTGTGATGGTGCTTGTGACGTGGCAGCATTCGACAGGCTTTGGAAGGTTGGGGCTAACAAACCCTTGTGGCTAG